TTATGAAGAGGTAGAGACAAGTTATCTGTATCAACTATTTCCCATACGTTTTCTTCATTTCCTCTTGAACACACTCTACTGGAACAAAAGATGCTCTTATCATGGGACTTCCATGTTGCTAGGCCCCACCAACAGTATCAGAATATCCTTATCTTCTGTGGCCTAACAATTTATCTGAGAGCCACTCCTCCTTGAAACACTGTCTTCACTTGGCTTCCAGTGATAATGTTTTCTCCTATAAGAATGTAACCAAAACACCTGGTAAATGTTTATAATTTTAAAACAATTGATTATAGTAAAAGACACATTACTATTAATTCCCCTTAAAATACTGCCCATATGCTTTAAACATATATATCACATCATCCTTGCTACCTCCTGTAGTAATTCTGGAAGTCCTGTCATGTTTTTGAGGTATGACCAAAATTAGGGTGAATGTTTCTGCTGATGGCCTTCGACAGAAAGGCAGGCTTAAAAAAAAACATTAGGGTGTGCACACAAATCCTATTCACCAGATCTGGCCCCCTGTGACCTCTCAAAAATGGCCCTGAGAAGTAAACATTTTGTTTTTTGTTTGTTTGTTTGTTTGTTTTTGGTGCTGGGGATCAAACTCATGACCTTGTGCTTGCCAGGCAGGCGCTTAAGCCACTGTACTAAATCCCCAGCCCCTGAGGTAAACACTTTGAATCCATTTAGGACATCAGGGTAGTCATGACAATACAACCGAATGAAAGCACACTTGTGAAAGACTTCCAAGACTGCTTCAGAAATCTTCAAGAATGGTGAGATAAGTGTATTCAAAGAGGAGTATTTTGAGGGGGGATTAGTGGAAATGTATCTTTTACTATAATTTTTTAAAATTAAATACCATATTTTTAATCACACCTCTTATTCTACTGGCTATTTCTTCTAAGTGTCCTTTGCTTATTTCTCCTCTGATGTCTAGCACTGAACATTAAGGGTCCTAGTGCTCAGCTCTCTGGGCCTAAAGAGTCTCTTACAACTCATGGGAGGAGCTCACTCTCATGGATTTATAAACATAGGACACACTTATCAGACTTCATTCTACAGCACAGTTCCCACGTCTGAACTCCCAACGGTCCACTTGTCACTTGCTGTCTAGCTGACAGTTGCTTATTTGTTCAAAGTAGAATTCTTGATCTTGCATCACAAACCTTCTTTTTCACTCTTCCCCACTTGAACTGATGATAAAGTTGTCCTTCTAAATGCATAGATCAAAAGCCCGGGCATCGCCCACCATTCATTTTTCTCACACACATCCCACACTCAAGTGGCCAGCATTTTCTGGACCACTTTTGAAGGTAGATACCTTCATGTCCAGAACCTCATTTCTTCACCATCTTACTTGCTACCACACTGGCCACGAAACCACCATTCCTTCCAAGGTCCCCAACTGAAGTTCCTGCTTCCACCCTGATTGTCACTCTGCTTTCCACTCTGCCCCCACCTCTGTCTATTGTCAAAACAACAGGGTGGTCCTACTTTAAACATAATCCAAGTCAAATTGCTACATCCGTCCCCTGAATGGAGGTGGCTTTCCATCCCCAGGGAAATGCCACAGACATTAAACGTACCTCTGTGTCTTTTTTGTTGTCCCCTTTCTTTTCAACTTACACTGCTACAGCCATCCTGGCCTGTCTTCCAAATCTCAACCATTCTAAGTGTGCTTCCACTTCAGGGCTGTTTTCACTCCCGATATGCATATCCTCCTCCTCCAGGATCTGCCCCTACAGTGGCCTGGCTTCCTTATCTCCTCCACTCTTTTTTTTCTTTAAAGAGAAAAAAAAACAAAACAGTGATACCGAATTTCAAAACAAGATAATAGGAAATTAACAATGGCAAACATATTGCGTATTGGTATCTTCAAAGCAGTTTCTCAGACGTGCTTTCCCAATGACGCCTTCCCTGAATTCTCGACTCAGAGTTGAACACCAGCCCCAACGCTTTCCATCCCTTTACTTTTGCTCCAACAGCACTTACTGTCATCTAAGATACTGCATATTTTGCTCACGTATTTGCTTTATCATTGCTGTGATTTTGATGTGTTCCCCAGTGTCCCAGGTGTAAATTAGTCACTAGTCTGTGGCACTCCGGGAGGTAGTGGAACTTTTAAATGGTAGAGACTTATGGGAAGTATGCACAGAAGGCACGCCCTTAAAGCAGACATTGGGACCTCGTGGCTGTCTGTCTCTGTCTCTGTCTGTCTGTACCTATCTGCATCTTTTTGTCTCTGTCTCTATCTCTGTCTTTCTCTGTCTCTTTCTCTGTTTCATCCCTCTCTCCTTCTCTCTTTCCCTCTTCCTCTCCCTCTCCTTGTCACTCTCCCCTTTCTGTTCTCCTCCCTCCCTCCTGCCCTTCCTGATCATGGGGTGACTAGCTTAATCTACCACAGAACCAACTAGCTATGGACAGAAATCTATAAAACCATGAGTCAAAATAAACCTTTTCTCCTTTTAAGTTGATTGTTTCAGGTATATTTTTACAGTGATAGAAACCAATTATCTGCTTCCTTTTACTAGGATGTATATTCCAGAAAGGCAAGAATTTTTGTTCATCACAACACCCCAGAGTTTCATGCGCCTTGCACATAAACGGTCAGTAAAGATTTGTTTAACAAATTAATGAACATGTTTGCTCCTTTATGGGAGTGATGAATAAAATAACATATTTATTCTTTAGCATTTTGTGAGCATCTCCCATGTGCTAAATGCTAAAGATTCAGATAAGTACAACAGGAACAGCTGGATACATGCCAATGTCAGCAACCAAGACCAAGGAACAGGAATGTTGGGGACACTTGTTGAAGTTGTGGGCCTATGGGGCATCCAGGTATACAGTCCAATCACAAGCTGGAGCTAATACCAAAATCCACCTGGGTCCACCATGCATTCATGCAGGAGCCAGAATGAAAGGGAAGGTTTTAGGGTTTCCTTAGGTTATACACCCAGACAGTAATACCGCCTTTCAGTCTTCAACTACCAAGAATAAAGCAAACATTTATAATACCTTGTCTTTTCGCATGAACTGATCTCATATATGGAAAGCCCTGAGCTTCCAGATGAAAGGTGCTACAGAACTGCAAAATTAGCTTTGCCAACTCAGAGGGAAGGTGGTGCCTGAATCCCCAGTGCCTAACAGCAGTGTCTGGACACGGCTCTTTTCCCAACCTGCCTTTCCATTCTAGGGCTTACGCTTTGATTATATGTGGTTAATATCTTAGAAAATTTGTTTATTCTTGCCTAGCGGCTGCCAAACTCCAAATAATCATGCAAATAGAAACAACAAATGTGCTAGACTCTTTTTACCAGGATCCACTAGATTGACCTTGTGAAGGGATTTCATGACTGGTAAACAGCAACATGACTTCTATCCAGGGCTCATTAGATTAGCTCTCTAGAGAAGGCAGCTGATTGTGGTCTCCTCTACACCGATCCTGCTCAGCTCCAAGCAGCTAGGTAGAAACTATGCCCCTTCTCCCCTAACCACAGTTAGGGATACCAGGAGCATGTAGGTATCTAGAATTGATCCAGTCCCTCCCTAAATCTCCTCAAAATGCACTCAGAAAGGAAACTAAGCATACTTCATAAACAGTAAGAATTTGACATAACTATGTACTTCAGGGAAGAAAAAAATACTTCGAATAGATTAGTCAAGAAAAGAAGGCTCTTTTGTGCGCATGCGCGTGCGCGCGCATACACACATACACACATACACACACACACACACAAACACACACACACACACACACACACACACACACACCTTGAATGAATTCCAGTACTGTAAAACTCGGAGCAGGGACTGAGGAGGAGTGGGCAGAGTAGTAAAGGAGGTGAGGATTTGCACAGAGGACCAGGGACAGCTTGCCAGCAGATGGCTTACCTATTCTAAGAAAGAACTGTCTGCAAAGAGCAAAAATAAAAGCAGCAAATATACTGGGTCCTCCACACTGATAAAGAAAGACTTTGACTGTGAAGATGCGTTTTCCAGACCTTGAAGGCTATTTGCTGCAAGGAAGCTTATCCTAGAGGAAGACTGGCTCATTGAGAATGGGTGTGGAGGAGGAGAAGGTGTCTGAATTCTGGGACCTTTTATTAAAGCTTGTTTTCCCTGTCTGAATCCTTTGGTTCCTGTGTCAGTGACAGTATTTATAACTCAGCTCCAGTGTGCCAACAAGTCCCATATGTTTCAGTTCTCTCCTTATCTTGTAAGCCAAGATAAGGTTGAAATGGATGTATTGCAAAAGATTTGTGACAGAACATACGCACACAAACACACAGCCTGACAGAGGACGGGTCCGTGTCTTACTCATCTTTGTTTGCCTCACTGTCTGTGCAGGTTCACACAAAGAAGATCCTCAAGAAAATTTCTCAATTAAATGTGCACATCCTTAAGGCAAAAGAGGAAGAGGGTATTCTGTGAGGAAGGCTTTTAGATTAAGGGAAAAGTAGCTGTGGGTCAGATATCAGGACTCAATATGGGAAAAAAACATCTTCAGCTATTAAAAAAAGCATCCTCTCCTCTCCCCACTCTCTTTCTCATTCATGTATTCATCTAACAGATTTTCACTCACCATATAAATTAGAGTGGCTGCCACCCACCAGTCACTTCTTTGAGTGCTAGGGACATGAAGATGAATAGGACAAAGTCCTGATCTGGAACTGAGTATGGTGTGGAACACAGATTAACAGCAATAAAATTCAATATTAGGTAGTATGGTAAGCTCTTTACCAGCATAATTTCATTTAGTCTAATTCTTTTTAAGCTCTAACCTACCTAAAAGTCACCTGGGAACTTTCAAATGGTGTTTCTAATTCAATAATTCTAATTCAATAATTCTGTTGCTCCACCAAGCTACCAGGGGCTTTCTATGCCAAAGGTTCTGGAACTACCTTTTGGGGACCAAGGATTTAAACATTTCAGCAATTCTAGGTGAAAGAAAACATCATTATCGTAAAGAAGAGAGAACCAGGGCTTGGTGAGATTAAACACAGTGGTATCTTTATTCATAAACTTAGTTCACTCGAAAATTCAGGAAAAGGTGACCATGTTCATGTCTGTGCAGGAAAGATGGCCAGAGTCATGTTCATCACCCACTGTAGAGTCTGCAAACGAAAACAAAATTTTGCCAAACACTTCTATTTGCAAACCAAATTGTTTACAAGCAAAAGAGTTCCTGAACCTAGGTACCATTGTAATTCTATAATTCATCTTTGGTATTGTGAACTAGGTGGTATCTGGCACCCCAAGCCGTGAAGTTATAGGTGAACAGTAACAGTCCATTGTTCAACGTAAGTGGTACAGGTACAATCAGGCCTGAGCAGACCCTACAGGTGTACATTTTAGAAGTGGCCCCAATGCTCCCTGCCACTCTGCCTAATCCCAGCCTGCATGTGTGGTTTTATAAATGTTCTCTGTAACCAGCTGACAAAGGGAGAAAAGATCCAGGCCAGGTCTACAGATGGTTCTGCATGTTCACCCAAAAGTGGACAACTAGATACTATATTCCTCTCTGGATATCCCTGAAGGGCAGTGGTGAGGGAAAAGTCCTCCCTGTAGGCAGAACTTTGAGGAGTGAAATGGTTGAAATGAGAGGTGGTTGGGTGGGTATACAAGTACATGCTGAGTCATAGGCTATAGTCTATGGTTTGGCTGTATGGTCAGGGACTTGGTTAGCATACTGATTATAAAGATATCTAGTAAGAAGGTATGTGAATCACTGGTGCCTTGGTTCATGAACTTAATTATTTCTGTGATTGGAAATAATTAAAAAACCAAATTGGAAAAGAACTGAATCAAATTCAATGGTTAGGTTCTGTGTTGACCTTACAAGGAAATTTGATTTGGTCTTGTCCGATTTGGTTTACAACCAGAACTGTGAAAAGAATTAAATTCATGAACCAAGGTTCCACTTTGTTCTCTATAAACAGGCAAAAATTGTGAAATTATTGTGTCTCATGTAAATGCTCAGCAACAGGTGACATCAGCAGAGGATTTTAATAAGCAGATACTTATGATCTGTTCTATGGATCCAGTTATCCTCTCTCCCAGGAACCCACTGTCATTCTCCAGTGAGCTCATAAAATGCCCATGGTGACTTGGAAGGTGGATATGTATGAGGTCAGTGACACAGACCTTAAGTCACCAGTGTCATCCTGGCTATGACTGTTGATTTCCCAATCAACCAATATCAGAGACCAATACAGAGCTTACAATATGAAACCATCCTCCAGAGTGATGAGCAGCTATTTGGTGGCCCATCGATTATGCTGGAGCACTTCTGTCATAGAAAGGCTAGTGTTTTTGTTCTTCCTAAACTGGGCATTTACTCTGGATGTGAATTTGCCTTCTCTGAATGCAATCCTTGTGCCAAAACTGCTATCATCTGTGGACTTAGAGAAATTTATCCACTGTCATATTTCACAGAGCATTGCTTCTGACCAAGGAACTCACTCCACAGTGGAAGAATTGTGATGATATGTCCATGCTCATGGATTTCCCTGGCCTTACCATGTTCCCAGTCATCCTGAAGCAGCTGGTTGATAGGATAGCAGAATAGCTCCTGAAGACTCATTTATTTATAGTGCCAACTAGGGGGCAGTGATGCGCAAGGCTGGGGCTTGTTTCTCCAGAAGATGATGTATGTTCTGTGTCAAATACATGATGTTGTTTCTTCCATAGCCAGGATTCATGGGTCCAGAAATCAAGGGGTGGGAATGGGAGCACCCCAATAACAAAGCCTTTGTTTCCTGTGCCCAAGACTTTTATGCCAAGACCTCTAGGGATGGCCTGGAGGTCTTGGTTCCAGAGAGAAGAATGCTTCCATTAAGAAACATAACAACCATCTCCCTTACTTGGAAGTTAAGGGTGTTGTCTGGCCATTTTGGAACCCTCATGCCTCTGAGTCACAGGCCAAGGAGGAAAAGTAAGGTGTTGGTTTGGGTGGTTCATCCAGATTATTAAGGATAAATTGGACTACTGCTTCAAAGTGAATATAAGAAAACGTATCTGTTTATATAAGAAAACATAAGTGAAACTCCTCTGCTTAAAGAAGGTAAAGAAAGTGCTATGTGTTTGAAAGACAAGATTATAAAGATGTATGAAGAATTTGAAATGTCCTGCATCATCATAGCAGAACTTTAGGGCAAAATTAATGAATCGAATTCCTTGAAAAATCAAATGGAATGATCGAAGCACTTCAGGACAAAGATGCTTTAAAAGTCAAGTCGTATAAAAAAGGCACTGAAGATCTCAAGGCATATAAAAAAGGCATTGAAGATCTCAAGGCGAAGCTGGTAAAATTAGACCTGCATCAAATGAAAACCGCCAAGAAATTTGAGAAGGAAATTACTTCTGCGAGAGCCACCGCAGAGCATCAAAAAAAAAGTCATGCGCCTGTTAAAGAAAATCTTAGAGGACATCAGCAGCTGCGACATACCTGGATGATCACAGAGCCTGGGGTTAGCAGAACGCAGAGCTGGTCCTGAAGATCAAGGACCTGGGCTGCACGAGGAGGTGGCCAGGCTGAGCAGCACAGCGAGTTGCTGAGCAATAACCAGCAACTTTCCAATGAGGTCAAAGCCTGGAAGCAGGGAATCCTCAACAGAGAGGCTCACGGAGAAGTAACCGAGGAGAATTTGCCGACTTCACCTGCTCAGGTGTCTGGAACCTATCCTAGAAGAGCCCCAACATCCCTGCTCAGGGCAGGGAACCCAATGTACAGGATCCCGCGCCAAAGGACTCGCCTAGGCCTCAGTGGTTTTTTCGGCATCCTATCCAGTTCACTGCTTTGACAACTCGAGCTTAGGCTTTGCCCAGAGGAGCAGCCTGCAGGCGTGGAGAGTGTGGACGCCAGGTTCCTGGCCAGCGCCTGAGGACAGGCCTCAGGACTTCGTGAGACTGACCGCCTGGAGACCACTGCGATGTCAGTGACCAGCAGAAGCTTTGTTCGGGTTTTCAGTTGGCCACTGCAATTGGAAGATGAAAGAACAAGAATAACAGCATAATGACAGCCAGACCTTCCTGCATATAATACTTTAAATGTTGACTTATTTTACTTATTTATCTATTGTAAAGAATAAGACTACTGGGGCTGGGGATTTAGCTCAGCGGCATAAGCGCCTGCCTTGCAAGCAGGCAGTCGTGAAGTCAATCCCTGGTACCGATAAAAAAAAAAAAAAAAGAATAAGACTACTAAAAATATTAAGTTACCGAGGGAAATTCTGTCAGCGTTGGCACAAAGTGTACATGGTTTTGTTATTCACGAATGACTTGGACATGAACAAAATTATAAACTTCATTTTAAGTGCTTGCACACTGAATAAACATGTACTTCTGAAAAAAAAGGACAGGAAACATACATGGAACATATGAGGTCTCTTAGACTATCTCTTAGTATTACTGTGCCCTGTAACTAAGGTCAATGGAAAACACAACAACCCTACCCAGCTAGAACTACAAATGACCCAAACCTTTCAGCAAGAAAATTTAGGTCACGCCCCCACTTAAAGTATGACCACTCAAGGCTCTTGATAAATGTAAAAGGAATACAGAATGGACAGACAGATAGCAGAAGAAAGTAGTTACAAATACCAGTTATAGCCATATAACCAGTAATAGAAGAATGAATGACTATATGGGTTCCTATTTTGTCATATGATTTTACATATATATATACATATACACATGCACACATTAATACATCTTTGTTTCTTTTCTCTCTTATTCCTTTGTCATGTAACATATTATATATTAATCTTATCAGTTTTTAAATATTAATTTCCATATTAGTTATAAGATATCAAGGAGAAAAACATCAATCGAGGATTTGCTCTTCTTCAAAAAGGAATTTTTTTAATTATTTATTTTTTATTAATGTATGTTTGCAATACATAATGACTACATTTACTGTGGGGAGTTGGTACATGTACATATTACGTCTTTATCCTTTATTGTGTGTTTTGCTGTATATAGTTTATCATGTTAGAATTATGACTCTGCGGTCTTTATTTGGAAGTGTGTTTTTAAAAGATGGATAGATAAAGCAAGTGGGTAGTGTACTTACAATAATTGATTCAACAAATGAGTCAAGTTGACAGGATTAAAGGATGATGCCCACATAACTGCTAAAACATTGTTTCTAGGTTTCTTTGTGAGGACATTTCTAGACGAGATTATCATTTCAGTCAGTGGACAAAGTAAAGAAGATAGATCTCGCTGATGCAGATGAACATCATCTAGTGTACTGAGATCCTAATAAATCCCAAAGACAGAGGGAGGGTTCTCTTCTTCATTTTCTCTTCTGGAGCTGGAGCACCTACTTTTTCCTGATATCACAGCCCAATGTCCTTAGGACTTAGATCAGAGGGCCGCCTACCTCAGTTGTCAGGCCTGTGGCCTCAGAATGAATGACACTATCAGTTCTCCTAGTTCACCTCTTTTCAGGCAGCATATTCTGGGACTCCTCAGCCTCCATAATTATATGAGCCAATTCCCATAATAAAACCCTTTTTTCTGTGTCTCTATATAGCCTATTGATTCTGTTTCTCTGAAAACCCCTGACTAGTTTAGTCATGCAGCTTGTACATGCAACAAACAGGTGCACTCCATATCTATTACCCACCACTCCCACACTGCCTTCCCCAAGACAACTGGTGGGATGGACCATAGGACTGTGACAGTTACTCATTGTACACTGGGATAAAAGGAAAGAGGGCCAGAGAAGACTCCCCAAGGGAGGAGTTATAAACAATACTAGGACTTAATGACATGTGGAGGAGCCCAGCACAGTGCTTCTTAATCTGTTTTTCAGTATTTCTCTCTTGAGACACTTTTTCCAGATCTCTACTTACCAAAACCTTTTAACACCATAGACATACTACGTGTGTACTTATGTACTATGATCCTTTGAAGGGCCACAAATAATTGTAATATTTAAGGTTTTTAAAAATTCATCCCCTCACTATAAACCAATATTGCCCCTGCTGAGAATGTAAAACCTAGCAAACTCCATTCACCTTGGAATCCATTCACCAATGATTTCGCAGAATTTTGAAATTACAGTTAAAAATAAGTTAAAGGCCATTTGCAGTTCTGCAAAAATATGAACAAGTGACCATCCATCCTTTGCTTGAGTACTTACCATACTGAAAACCCAATTACTTCAATAGCAACCCCATCCTGCTTTTAAGGATTCCTTACCAGAAAGTTCTCTTATTGTGAGCAGAAATTTGGCATGCCATGCTTGCATGCACTAGTCTGAGGTCTACCTTTTGTTGCTGAACAGATGTTATACAATCAGGAGCAGTGGAGAGGAGAGATATGTGCAATGTTCAGCTTCTCTCCCTGGAATACAAACAGTAATTGTACATGTTGTAAGAGTGATGGTCAACCTGTGTTTCTAGCCTTTCTATATATAACAGTTTCACGTAAAATTTCTCTTTTTGAATAAGCTACAACACACTGATTCATCTCAGTGTCAAATACAATTTCTCAGTCCTGGGGTGACTTTTAGGGATGGTAGAATAGTACAAAAGAAAAAATGATAGAATAAAGATAAGAACATTAGGGTAAGGGACCAGGGATTTAGTTCAGTAGCATAAGCGCCTACCTTACAAGTGCACAGTTGTGAGTTCAATCCCTGGTACCAAAAAAAAAAAAAAAAAAAAAAAAAAAAGAAAGAAAGAAAGAAAAGAAAAGCTTTAAGAACATCAGGGTGTAATTTTTTAAAGGCTACAGTTTTTTTTTGTTTGCTTGTTTTGTTACTGAGGATTGAACTCGCGACTGCACACTTGCAAGGCAGGCGCTTATGCCACTGATCTAGCCCAAAGGCTACAGTTTTGATTTAAAATAACATAGGTGACAGGGAAACAGATCAGTGACACAAGCACCTGCCTGGCAAGTGCAAAGTCCTGACTTCAAATCCTGGTACAAAAAAAAGCTATAAAATAAGATAGGTAACCATTCTAGAGCTAAAAACACTAATATAGCTGTGAAACATGAGTGAGGGAAGGAAGCAGGAGGTGGGTGATGGCGGAATGAGGATAAGCTAAGTTCCCACCCTTCATAGCGAGGGGTCAACAGGGTTGTCTAAAAGTGGTAAGCTGAGAATACACAGAGAAACATAGTTTGAGAGCCATGGAAATGGCTGTGAAACTCCAAACCAGGTGGAGGATTCTTGCTTCCCTTCCTTTACATTTAAACTATCTGATCTCTCAGCAAATATACACAGAATAATTAAAATTAAAAACAAAAGAATGCTGGGACAGAAAACAGTCACAGCACCTTCAATCACTAACTCGAGCCCGAGTTGAACCCACCTAATCTTGGATTGAAACTTCTCATATAAAAAGTGGAAAATACTCTAAGTCTGTATTTTGCAGAATCCCAGCCGTTACCACTGTTTAATGGTGCTGCTCTTGTGGTGGGAGGTGTGTCTGATTTCCTGAGTCTTCCCTTTCTCACCCTAGCCCCACACAGGCAGCCCAGAGATAGCTCAAGAGGATCCCAGAAATCTATATTTAAAACTACTAGTCCACATTACTGACTTTACAAATTATGAGTATAAACCATAAATTTAGTGGCTTGGAACTAATGCAGTACTTGCAGAGAACAAGAATCAGAATGCTCGCAGTCCTCTGTATTGTCTGATTTCCATCGTGCACACACGCACCAAATGAACACAGGAAATATGTTTCTTGTTACCAGTCACAATAAAAATGTTTGTTTTACCCCACTCTAACCTTTTTTGATTCCATGATGTCTCTGAATTATCTACCCTCTCTTAAGACCTTTATATGTAAAAGCCCAAATTGTAATAGAGTTTTTTTTTTTTTTTTGTCTTTTTCTTTTTTATCGGTACCAGGATCGAACTCACAACCTCCTGCTTGCAAGGCAGGTGCTTATGCCACAGAGCTAAATCCCCAGCCCCCGTAATAGAGTTTTTAACCTTTATGAGAAGTCTTCAGATTCCCTGTATGTGTCAAAGACTGCCGGTGAGCCTGGAGAGCTGAGTCCCAACAGGAAGATCCTAGTATGCTCAGACCTTAGGAGGAAGAAAGAACATAATTGGAAAGTCCCTTCAGGTGATTCTGATGCATATTCCTCTTCCCCTCCTCTCACTCTATCCACTAGACCAGGAGTAGAAAGAAGCTGGTAATGAAAATAATAAAAGACAAGTGGGAAGAACATAAATTACCAAGCCTCAGTTATTGAAGAGGATAGCCGTCGTTCCTCCTAACAAGTGAGTTTTTATGCAGTAGAAGCCTAAACTGATCAGGTATGTCCCAGATAGATTTCATTTTCATGAATGCAAATACTTAGTTTTCTAAATTTTTTCCACAAGTTCAGAAAAGCACAATGTTCTTATATAAGAAAGAAAATTAGGATACCACAGCAATAAGAGTAGTTTGGGTCCTAAAGTCCTGGGAGCTTCATGAACTTCTTGAAACTACAAAGGTTTGTATGGATGTGTACATTGGCTTCTAGTATAAAAGTTCAACCACTTTCAATAATTTCTCAAAGGAATATGAAATCTAAGAAAGGTTAAGAACCCTGGGGGTATAGGGTCCCATTCATCTAAAGCTCGGTGAGCACCTCTATCTTCAGGTGAAATTTTACCTTTACCTTGATCAACAGAAGGCTTGGTTTTTCCTCTTTGGGAAAGGCCTTGCAAAAGCTCACACATCTGCCTTACTGAGGACTCATCAGTTCGAAGGTGGCTAGCCTTCAATGACATACGGCCAGGGAGAGAGGCCTTGGGCACCAGTTACATCTGTTACCAGCTGGTGGTGAGCTGTGTAGCCTGTGAGCAAGACAGTGGGCAGTGGGGGCACAGGGAGAACCACAGATTTAGGATTCTTTGCTGGACATTTCACAAGATTAGGGTCTATAAAGTTCATACTAAGTCTTCCCTCCCCCCAGTTAGGAAAACATAGATAGTGCGCTTATTTTATTTCTTATACGATATAATAATGCTAGGATAAAAATGCCTCCATGGTGTAAAATTGACACATTCATTTTTTTACTACTAAAAACCTCCTCTTGTGTTCGGGAAATATCCCTCTCCAGAGTGTGTGCAAAGCATCAGGTAAAAACAGTTATCTTCCACTTACCACTAACAGGGTTCCATCTATCACTTCCTATGGCCAGAACAGGCGCTTACATTTCAAAGCAGAGAAAGGAAAGCTATCAACAACCATTAGACCCGGAGTGTCTGAAAGGTCTGTACTGTTTTTTCTTTTCACTTTTGTTTTTTGTTTTTTAAGCATGCAATTGAGAATTGCATCTAAAGATAGATAGTGCTTTGGGGATGATATTTAAATCCTACCTTATTCAGCCTCTGAGTTTCACTTTCTTCATCTGTAAAATAAAATAATAATATTCAATGCATTGAGTGGCCCCTGTGAAATTTTTAAAAATCAAAAGAGAGAAAACTCCCAGCAACTGCAGCTGCTCCACACATGTTGATCATGTACCCTCAACCTCCTAACCCCCTCACTCTTCACTCCTGGCATTTAAAATCCCCATTTCCAGGAATAGTGAAGTATCAGAAGGATACTCTTCATGGGATCAAATCCCCTCTGAAACATGCTTTATTCTCCCCCCCCCCCCAGTTGCTTGTATATGTCACAACTTCAAACTCATCTCCACATTTGCAGTAAAATAGGCAGGAGGAGAAGGGCTTTATAAAGTCCATACCCAAATACTATGCCAGAAGGCAAGATGTATTGGAAAGCAGACTTACGCAAGAGATTTGGCCATACTGGATTAATGTGAGATCTTATGGCTTCAGTTTAGATGAAAGATTGGCACCTTATGAAGTGGTCTCCACAGCAGCACAATGTACAAAGTGTGGGTACCCAGCCTCTGTGAAGCCTATCTGGTGACAGAGTCCAACTATAGCTACAGGAATGGCGTGGGTCCTCACCAGTGCACTGAAGCCTGCATTTCCAAACATGGAACAGGGTAAAGAGGTCACCATTTTTAGAATAAAATACAGGTCAAACATTGTTCCTGTGGGTTCCTCAGGGCACAGTGGCCATCACTCGGAGTCACATCAGGTCCTGCACAAGAGGGAGAGGAGGTCATACACATGTCCTCTGGAAGTAGAGAGAAAAGATCAAGCTGTACATCACCCAGCTACCATATGCCTGCAGAGTGGGGAAGCTCTCACTAGAGACAGGAGGAAGAGAGGGCAAGGAGGCAGGATGCAGGGAAGAGGAACAGTTTCTCTCTGGAGCACACATTCTCCGAGCCAATCTTCTGAAGCCATTTTATTGAGAGGAAGTTCATGGACATGGTAGTTGTGGACACTATAACTAGTGTTGTTACCACAGCTAGTAATTATAACAGCAGTAAATGAGGCTATGTACATGGAGTAGAGGGACATGAGAAATCTCTGTACTTTCTTCCAGTTTTTCTATGCAATTAAAACTCCAAAAAAAATTTTTTTAAACTCTCTAAACTGGGCATTACAGGTGGTGGCACAAACCTTTAATCTCAGACTTCTGGGAGGCTTAAGTAGGAGGATCACAAGTTCAAATAGAGCTTAGGCAAGACCCAGGGACTTAGCAAGAACTTCTCGCAAAATAAAAACACCTGGAGATATATCTCAATGTGAAGGCCTTGAGTTAAATCCCAAAATGGGGAGGGGTTGACAACTGTGTTTTTTCAGAAAAGTCAACTGATACTCTGGGCTCATTTGCCCACTCCCCAGATGCCCTGCCCAACCCTGCCTCAGGCCCAGGCTTGCCCTTAGATCTGACTACATGTCCAGTCCAGGTTTCAGCTGCTTAGTAGGAAAAAAAACATCCTAAGTACTAAGAGTCTGTTGTTGCTTTCCAAAAAAGCATGAGCTGTTCTATCCCAGGCGTATATGCTCAAATTGCTGAATGTCAGGAAGACAGCCATCTCCAGAATAAACAAGAGGAAATGAAAACATCATAGTTTAACACCTTTCTGTGGGCTTGGATGACCAGTGATACATGCCTGCCTGTTTCATCTGGCACCTTGTACTCATGGTATAAGTGGGCCTAATCACTTTTACTGGTCTTTTTACTAATAAAAATTAATACAAAGTCACCTGATTGGACAACCATGCATGTACCACCAGTGGTTCAAGCCCCTGGCAGTGAGACACATAAACTATAGCTCCATCATAAATGCATTAAGCCTATTTGCTCACCATCACTTTTTAAAAATTAATACACATTTGCAGTTCATGCAGTTTACAATCATCTTGAGGAGTGGTTACATATACAAATCACAGCTTTTTCTTTCCTTTTTTTTTTTTTTTTTTTTTGCGGTACTAGAGATCAAACTCACAACCTTGTACTTGCCAGGCAGGCACTTACGCCACTGAGCTAAATCCCGGCCCCTAGCTTGTTTCTTTTTAATCTCCCTCTCATTCCTTCACTCCCTTCCTCCTCCTTGAATTCCCCTAACTCGTTTTTCATTCTTGTTGATATTATTCATCTTAGTTCCTGTTACGGCATATAATTGAACAATTGAAGTTATTAGGTTCCTATATATGGTATATCTTTATTCTACTTGTTTCCCTTCCTCCTCCTTCACATCGCTCACACTTTTTTACCTTGGACCACTATTGTAAGAGATCCATTGTCTTGTCCCGTCTATTCTCTGCCTGTGCTGTGCCTCACTAAATTGGAAGATACCATATGGTATTTAAACTCATGTGTCTGGTTTATTTCACTCAACATTATATCTTCCAAGTGCATTCATTTTCCTGAAAATATCTCAAATCTGTCATGCTTTATAGCAGAGTAGTACTCCATTATATATAGATAACACATTTTGTTTATCCAATCGTCTGTTGATGGGTATATAGGCTGCTTACAGGATTTAACTATTATGAGTTGTGCTGCTATAAATATTGGTATATATGTATCACTATAGTATGATGTCATAAACTCTTTAGGGAAGATGGATGGGTCGTAGAGAATTTCTAATTTCACTTCTTAGAAAAATTTCCATACTGATTTCCATTATGGTTGTACTAGTTGACATTCCCACCGAGAGTGAAGGAGTGTTTCTTTTTTACCACAGCTTTGCCAGCTTTTGTTATTGTTTGATTTCTTAATGATTCCCATTCTTTTTGGAATCTTAGTATCATTTTAATTTGCATTTCTCTGGTGACCAGAGATGTTGAGATGTTGGTATTTTGATTGGGACTGACTTGAATCTCTTTAAAAGTTTTGGGAGTGTCTTAGTTACTTTTTACTTGCTGAGACAAAATACCTGATGCCCAAAGGAAAGGTTTATTTCTTTTTTTTTTTTTTTTTTTTTTTTTGGTCTTTTTTCCTTTTTATCAGTACCGGGGATCAAACTCACGACTGCCTGCTTCCAAAGCAGGCGCTTATGCCACTAAGCTAAACCTCCAGCCTGAAAGGTTTATTTCTTACAGTTTTTGGAGGTTTCAGTCCATACTCAGTTGGCTCCAAGGCAGGTTGGCATGGTGGGGCCGCAGTTCATGGCTGCTGCATATGGCAAGACAGAACAGCAAAAGAGCAAGACATGCCTTCTTCCTGCCATTACATTACATCTTGGCTCCACCCCTAGGCCAGTGTAGCACTCACACACCCAATCTAAGCACCAGACAATGAACCAATCACAAATACATAATGCAAATTCATAAGGCCTGGGGCCACCCACATAAACCATGCCAGGGAGTATAGTCATTTTGACAATATTGATGCTTCCTATCCAGGGGACATCCTTCCATTTTGAATGTCCTCTCAATCTCCTTTTTCAGAGTACTGTAGTTTTCTTTGTAGGGGTCCTTCATTTCCTTAGTTAAGTTAGTTCCTAGGTATTTCATCTTTCTTGAAGCTACAGTGAATGTATACTTTCCTTCTCATTCCATTCATTGTTGCTGTATAGAAATGCTAATAATTTTCGTGTGTTGATCTTGTAGCCTGCTACACTGTTGAAATTTGTTATTAATTCTCAGGGGTTTTCTGTTGGAGTTCTTTGGGTCTTCCATATAGAGTATCATATCATCTGCAAACAATGGTAACTTGAGTTCTTCTTTTCCTATATGTGTACCTTTTATTTCTCTTGCCTAATTGCTCTGGCTGATGTTTCAAGTACTATGTTGAACAACAGAGGTAATAGTGGACATTCTTATCTTGTTCCTGACTTTAGGGGAAACTATTTTACTTTTTTCTCATTTAGTGCGATGCTGGACATTGCTTTGTCTTACATAACTTTTATCATATTCATGTATGGTCTTTCTGTATGTGTTCTTTTCAGGGTTTTTAACATGAAGGAGTGTTAGATTTTTGTCAAAAAGCCTTTTCTGCATCTATGGATGTGATCATATGGTTTTTCACTTTGCTTCTGTTTATGTGATATATTACATTTATTGACTTATGCATCTTGAATCATGTGTAATAATGAAACCTACTCAATCAGGATGTATGATCTTTTAATAATATGCTATATTCTATTTGCTAATATCTTGTTAATGACTCTTGCATCTATGTTCATTACAAGATTGGCCTACAGTTTTCTTTTTTTAGTCAGGTCTGTATTTGATTTTGGGATCAGGGTGATACTGGCTTCCATAAATGACTTTGAGAACACTCTATTCCTTTTAATTTCTTTGAAGAGCCTGAGGAATATTAGTGATATAACATCCTTAAAGTTTTTGAATTCTAATTCTGCAGTGAATCTGTCAAGTTCTAGGCTTTTTTTAGTTGGTAGATTCTTTATTATTGTATCAGTTTAATTGCTTGTTATTAGGTTGTTAAGCCTATTTATGTCTTCTTGGGTTATTTTTAGTAGTTGTATGTGTCTAGGAATCTGTCCATTTCTTCAAACTTTGGTAATCTTTGGAATATAATTTTTCAAAGTAGCTATGATCTCCTGGATTTCCAAAGTGTCTGTTGTGATTTCACCTTTTTCATTTCTAATTGCATTGATGTGTCTTTTCTCATTTTCTCTTGGTAAATCTGCCTCAGGGTTTTTCTATTTTATTTACTCTTTAAAAAACTATCTCTTTTGTGGCCCTGAATCAAGGCCAGCAGCTTCTTGGCACTGTTGGTTTTAAACAGGAACCTAAAGAGATGTCTTTCTATGATCTGTTGGCCAATTCAGAACTTGACAGTGAAACGATCAATTCACTACAAAGAAACAGCTTAAAGCAACCCCACCCTCTGTGAGCGGCTGTGAACGTGGCAGGCTGTGGTGGCACAGGACGGGAGCCATCAGTGTTTACTGGGCCCCACGCCATGCTGGACCTGGAGCGCTAGGAAACCAATCAACCCTTCCCTCCCTGGTGAGCGGCTGTGAGCATGGCAGGCTGTGATGGCCCAGTACAGGAGCCTCTGGTGTTTACTGGGACCCGCACCATGCTAGGACCTGGAGCACTTGGAAAGCAAGCAACTCCTCCCTGACGGTGAGTGGCTATGAGTGTGGCAGGCTGCGGTGGCCCAGGAAGGGAGCCAACAGTGTTTACTGGGATCTGCACCAAGCTGGAAACCAAGGAATCCCTACCGCTCTGCCTGTTTTGTTTTGTTGAACTTCAATATACATGAAAGTATGGACAGCTATTTTGAAGAGAATGAGAGACTATGACAGCCATTAGTGACTTCCCTATTGTCTGGTTTTGAAGACCTAAAACACCTTCCTAATTCTGTTCAGATCAGTTTTATACTACGTTGTTTTGTATGAATTCTCTGTATGTGAAGACATGGACAACTATTTGGAAGAAAATGATACAACATGATAGATGGTGAAGATCTCAGGTTGTCTAGCTTTGAAATTTATATCTCTTACATTATTTCCTTATGTCCTATTTTGGTCTGTATTGTTGTGATTAATTTTACCCCCTTTAAAATAAAATTTAAATAAATTTTAAAAAGCTATCTTTTTTCATTCATTGATTCTATTTATTGGTCTTTTTAGACTCAATGTCATTGATTTCCACTCTCATTTTTATAATTTCCCTCTTTAATTTTGTTTTGGGTCTCGTTTGTTGTTTCTAAAGTGAGAATTAATTTTCCTCGTAGAACTGCTTTCATAGTGTCCCAGAGATTTTGATGAGTTACATAATCACTGTCATTGATTTCTAGAAATTCTAAAATTTCTTCTGTGATTTCTTCTGTGACCTATTGGTTCTTCAGTAATATACTGTTAGTTTTCCAGGAGTTTTGGTCTTTTGTGAAATTTCTTCTGTTGTTGATTTCTATTTCCATTACAGATTTATCTGAAAGTATGCTTAGAATAATTTCTATTCTTTATATGTACTTAACATAAGCATATACTTAAGCAGACTTGTACATTATTATGTGCTTTATTTTGGAAAACATACTATGTGCTGCTGGAAAGAATGCACTCTGCCAGACAGCAGAGGAAGTCTATATGTTTAAGAGTGTGGTTTAGCTCAGAAATTTCTTTACTGTCTTTTTATTTAGCTGATTTACCTCTTCACAAAAGTGGAGTGCTAAAAACCTCTTCATGATTGTCTTAGTGTTTAGTTGATCTTCTAATTTCACAAGTTTTTGTTTTATGAAGTCAAATGTTCCACTATTTGGTGCATGTGTGTATTAATATTACCTCTTCGTGTTGGATTGTTCCTTTAGTATGCAGTGACTTTCTTCATCTCTCTTTTTGTTTTCTTCATCTCTTTTAATCCACTTGAACTTGAAGTTTACTATTTCTGATATTAGAATTGCCAGCCCTGCTTGTTTTCAGGATCATAGCGCATGAAATGTTTTGGGTTTTTTTTTTTTTTTTTTTTTTTTTTCGGTGCTGGGGATTGAACTCACGACCTCGCATTTGCCAAGGAGGCCCTCATGCTGCTGAACTAAACCCCCGGCCACTCTTATCCATCCTTTAATTTTTAATTGATGACTATCTTTTTGGATTAGATAAGTTTCTTGAATATAACAGATCTGTGAATTTTTTTTAATCCCATCTGCCAATCTGTGTATTTTATTTGGAGAGTTGAGGCTTTTAACATTGAAAGATATTACTGAATGGTTGTTTATTTACTGTCATTGCCTTCTTTATCTGTTGATGTATCCTTTGTTTTTCTTTTCCTGATGCATTTTTTGTTGCTGTTTATCTACTGACCTCACTGTTACCACTGTGTTTTTAGCTGTATCTGCTTCATTGTTTCTGCCAAGAGTACTTTTATTTCTGCTAGAACTGGTTTGGCATGCATATGTCTTCTGAGCTGGTCTTTTTCACGAAAGTGCTTTATTTTTCCATCTATTTGGAAGGGTAACTTTGCTGGGTGATTTATCCTGGGTTGAAAGTTATATGCTCTTGGGGCTTGAAATTCACTCCAAGGTCTTGGTCTTACACTGAGAATTCTGCTGTAATTCTAATTTTTTTACTTTCTATGTGATTCTTGTTGTTGTTTTTCTCTGGCTACCTTTAAAATTCTGAGTGTTTTTGTTTTCGTTTTTTACTGGTTATCTAGGAATCTGGATACATCTTGGTGAGCTTTGCCTTTCACCATAATTGTTGGGTGGCCTACAAGTGGCTTAATTGTATTCTAAACTCTTTTCTTATATTTGGGAATTTTTCTTCCATGATTTCTGCAAGCATGTTAATGAGTCCATCTGTGCTATCTGTGCTAGTTTTTGTCTAGCTCTGATTGGCCTTAGATTGGTCTTCTTCTTGTCATCTAGTAGCTGTTGGATGGTCTTTTCTACATCTTTTTTTTCTTCTTTTCTTCTTCCTTTTCTTCTTCTTCTTCTTCTTCTTCTTCTTCTTCTTCTTCTTCTTCTTCCTCCTCCTCCTCCTCCTCTTCCTCCTCCTCTTCTTCCTCCTCTTCCTCCTCCTCCTCCTCTTCTTTTTTGGCTTCTTTGATCTCTGTATTGTAATTCACTATTTTTTCCTCAATATCAGACACTCTGTCTTCACATTGTTCATTTCTTCAGTGTATAAATTCTACAGTTTTTTTATTTCAAGTATTTCTATCTGACATATTTTCAAGGATTCTATATCCTGGTTGAATCTGACATTCAGATTTTGAACTGTTTTGGTTAACTTGTCCAGTTCTGTACCTATTTCCCCAAAATTCACCATGGGCGTATTGGGTGAAATCAATGTGAACTTTAAGTTCATTTTCTCTTTGAACTCATTCATTTTCTTCGCCCTAAGAACTTTTCATAGAGTTCAGTTACCAGGCTTTTTTTTTTCTCCTTTTGTGTTCTCCAGCTCCGCTTTGGTGAGTCAGGGAGGTGGGGGTTTTGATGATCTGTTTCTTTGATTTTCCTATATGTATCTGTGTTTATTTTAAAATAGATATATTTAAAATCTATATTTTATCTTTTTAAAAAATTACACAAGGCTTCCTCTTTTCCCTTCCTTTTTTGTGCGGAGTCTGTTATTGCAGGCTGGGGACTAGATAACAGAGGAGGAGTTTGTGGCTAATATGGAGATTTGTAGGAGATGTTGCCTCCCTTGAATAATTTTCAGCTTTGCATGTCCAGGGCTGGTATTTACTTCTTCTGTTACTTTAAGTGGTTCTGAGTCTGTCCCTATGTTTTTCTGAAAGAATTACTTCTATTTATAACAGCACCTACAGACTCAGTCTCACATCATTTCTACAAGAGTCCTTGTAGGGACTCTTCCCCCTTTGGTCTATCCTCTGCATTGAGGTAGGTGGGGTGTGATGGGGAGACTGGGAGGGTTGGAGGAGGAATGTTAGAGACGAAGGGGGAGGTTTGAAGGAGGAAATGATGTAGAAGAAATACTGCTGGGGACTCTGATTTTATTGAGGTACTTTTAGTTGAGTTTAAGAGTTAGTACTGAAAGTTTTACAGAGGATGTGTGGGGGCAAGAGTGAGACATGAGAGAAAGAAGGTTTACTTGATGATTAAGGAAAACTATGTGGTTGTCAGAACTTGCTGACAGGAGGGGCAATAGCTAGGTACAATATAGAAGAGCGGAAGGCTTAGGATGGGGAGGATCAAGGAATGGTAGCAGAGAAGACAGGAGTGATTGTGAGGGAGCTAAGTACAGAAAATTTAAAAACTTGGGAAGGGAATTTACATGTTTGGAAAAAGAATAAAGAAATATATTAACAGTATTGCCCGGGGGATTGAGGAGAAAAAGTAGATAGGGAGCTGAGACAGAGGAGAGAACATGGAGACCTATTAAACCAGGGCCAGTGAAAGAACAAATACACAGAAGTAACAACCTAATAAACACAGGAAACCATAAAAGAACATAACATAACCTCACATACTAAATAAAACAAGAATCATACAGAAGTTTAAATCTATAAGATATCCTATGAGACCACACATTAAATATTTCAATGAGACATTGCATGTGTGATCCCCAAGTAGCTTCTTTGCCAGAGAGTTTGAGTGCTTGCAACCAAATAACTCTTCTGATCTCTCCACCACAATACTGAAGCTAACTCAGGCTCAGGACTTCTTCCTGCCAGGGTGCAGGGATTTTTGCAGAGTCTGATCCATCCGAGTTCTTGAGTTAGGAACTCTTGCTGTCCCTTTCCCTGGGTGTGACAGTGGATTTGGCAGGCTGGTTCACTAGCACAAACTTGTCCACCAAGTCAGGATTATTCCTGTGAAATCAAATCATCTACAGCAGTAACAGCCTAACCCATGTCAGTGGTATCTATCAGGGCTAGTTGACAAATAACATGCCGCAAGACCCTCTATTGAGCTTCCCTTGAGCCCAGGGAAGAAATCCACAGTGATAGTGTAAGCATCTTAACAAACCAAGTCTCAACCCATAATTAATGTGCACTAAATGCAATGGCTGTGTCTCCTCTAATAGTGAAAAGCAGCATTCAGTAGGAATTTTATAGACTGTTACCGAAAGCTGAGGAGGTTGAAGAGGGTGGAAGAGAAGAGAAAAAGATTTTTTTTTTTTTTTTTAATTCTCTGCTCTATGATATGGGAAGGAAGAAATTGGAAGGGGGCAGAGGATCCCAGTGATATCAAAAATATGTTATATGCTTGCCAGAGAACAGGCTTCTTGGAACCCATGACCCATGAAGTCTTGTCAACATTCTTATCAACTGAGTGTATCAGCGAAGAAGCAGAAGAAGTAGAGGAGGAGCTGGGCGGATCCGGAGTCCCTGCAGAAGCCCGTTCCTTTGTCTGAAGGACTGAATACTTCTGCAAGCAGAGAGGCATCGCAGCTTCCTGAGG